TCCTGGGGGCTCCATGTAGACAAGCCTAAGAGTTAAAAACTCCAGGGGACCGGCCATGGGAAGCCCCCACACTTATGTGAATTCCCATCTAGGAGCTCTACTAGATCCTCTTAGTGAATATCACAGAAAAGAAAATCTGTGCTTCCACCAGAGAGAGGAAAATGTTGAAATACAACAGAGCATTCTGATAACAAGAGCTGCCCTCAGGAGCAACTGTTTTACTAGAGTCCAACTTACAAAAGTTTTATGAGAGCCTAACCAACTTGGGGAAAGATAAATACCCACTCCAGCCACCCTGTCTCACCTAAGGGATGCAGCGGGACTGAGAAGCACTTGTTATGTTCTCAGTTGGGGGCACAGTCTCCCCAAAAGACTGGACTTAATCATAAGACTATGAAAGACTTCCTGTCCCCCACACCTCCTCTTCATTACTAAAGACCTACTTACAGAGTTCCATTCACCTGGTACATTATGTCTGTTTGGCCTTCAACATAAAATCACCAGGCATACTGAAAGAAGAGACAGAAAAAACATCAGAACCAGACTTAGACATGGAAGGGATGTTGGAATTAGGAGACCAGGAATTTAAAACAACTATGATTAATGCACTAAGGGCTCTAATGGGAAAAGTAGACAACATGCAAGAATAAATGATCAATATAAGCTGAAAGAAAAAGGAAATTCTAAGAAAGAATAAAAAAAAATACTAGACATCGAAAACACTAAAAGAAATGAATACTTTCGATGGGCTTGTAAGCAGACTAGATATGGATGAAGAAAGAATCTCTAAACTTGAGGAAATGTCAGTAGAAACTTTCAAAACTGAAACTCAAAGAGAAAAAAGACTGAGGGCGGTAAAAAGGAACAGAATATCTGAGAACTGTGGGACAACTACAAAAGGTTTAACTTACACATAATGGGAACACCAGCACAAGAAAGAGAGAAACAGAAGAAGTATTTAAAGCATAATGATCGAGAAGTTGTCCAAATTAGTGTCAGACATGAAACTACAGATCCAGGAAGCCCAGAGAACACGCAGGATAAATGCAGAACAAACAAACGAAAAAACCCTATACCTAGGCATATCACATTCAAAGCAGAAGATCAAAGATACAGGAAAAATCTTGAGAGAGGCCAGAGTAACTTCTACAGGAGCAAAGATAAGAACTACATCTGACTTCTCCAAAGCCATGCAAGCAAGGAGAGTGGAGTGAAATATTTAAGGTGTCGAGAGGAGAAACAAACCACCAACTGAGAATTCTATACCCTACAAAATTATCCTTCAGAGCTGAAAGAGAAGTACTTTCTCAGACAAATGAAAGTTGAGAAAAATTGTTGTCAGTAGACCTGCCTAGCAAGAAATGTTAACAGAAGCTCTTCAGAGAGTAGGAAAATAGTATAGGCCAGAAACTAGGATCTACATAAAGAAAGGAAGAGCACTGAAGAAGGAATTAGTGACAGTAAAGTTAAAACTTTTATTTTTCTTATTCTTAATTAATCTAACATAATAGTTCAGAATAATAATAGCAACACTGTATTTGACATATATATGCTTGTGTGTAAGTGAAATGAATGACAGCAATGATACAAGGGACAACAGGGAGGTATTAGGAATATTTTATTTTTATATGGTACTTGCACTACCCGTAAAGTACTGTGGTGTTTTGCATATTGCAAAATATTGGACAACCACTTAAAAATGTTTTAAAAAGTATAATTGACATGCTAAGAAAGGAGAGAAAATGGTAATATAGGATGCTCAATTAAAACCACAAAAGGCAGCAAAAGAGTAGAAGGCAAAAACAAACAACAAGAGCAATGACAAGAAAACAATAATAAATATGGTAGATATCATTCCAGCTATATCAATAATCACTTTATTTTTTTAAGACTTTAATTTTAAGTAATCTCTGCACCCAACGTGAAGCTCCAATTCACAACCCCAAGATGAAGAGTCTCATGCTCTACTGACTGAGCCAGTCAGGTGCCCCTCAATAATCACTTTAAACATTAATGATCTGAATTTGCCAATTCAAAGAGACTGTCAGAGTTGAATAAATGGCAAGACCTGACTATATGTTGTCTACAAGAAACCCATTTTACGTATAAAACACATATAGACTAAAAGTTAAGGGATAGAGAAAAATATACCATGTTAACACTAATCAAAACAAAGTGGGAGTAGCTATATTACTCTGAGACAGAGCAGACAGCTGAGCATAAAAGTTCGGTATAAAGAAGGACATTACATAATGATAAAGGATTCAGTTCTCCAAGAAGAGGTAACAATCCTTAATGTGTACGCATCTAACAACACAGCATCAAAATATGTGAGGCAAAAACTGATATATTTGCCAGGAGAAATAGGTAGATCCACTCTTAGTTGGAGGCTTCAACACCCCTTTGTCAGAAATGAACAGATCCCAAAGGCAGAAAATCAGCAAGGACGTAGTTGAATTCAACCACACTGTTAATTAACTAGATATAACTGACATCCATAGACTACTTCATCCAACAACAGCAGAATTCACATTCTCCTCAAGGTCACATGGAACATTCACCAAGAGAGACCACGTTTTGTGCCATAAAATACAACTTAAAAATACAAAAGAATACAAATCATGTAGTATCTACTCTCAGATCACAATGGAATAAAACTAGAAATCAATGACAGAAAGATAGCTGGAAAATCCCAAAGTTCTTGGAGACCTTACCACACATTTTTAAATAACACATGGGTCAGAAAAAGGAATCTCGAGAAAACCCATTTTGAACTAAATGAAAATGAAAAGCCAACTTATCAAACTTTGTGGGATGCAGCAAAAACAGTGCTTGGAGGGAGATTTATAATAGTGAATGTAAATACTGGAAAAGAAGTCAATCTAAGCTTCTGCCTTAGGAAACTAGAAAACGAAGAGTAAATTAAATCCAAAGCAATCAGAAGAAAGGAAATAAAAATTAGAGTAGAAATCAATGACATTGAAAACAGGAAATCAATAGCAAGGTTGCAGGATACAAGGTTAACATACAAAGTCAATTGCTTTTCTATATTCTATAGGAACAAGTGGAATTTGAGATTAAAAACACCATATAATTAGCACCCCCCCAAATGAAATAGTTATGTATCTAACAAAATATGTATAAGATCTAAATGAGGAAAAATACAAAACCTGATGGATAAAATCAAAGAACTAAATAAATGAAGAGATAGTCCATGTTCATGGATAGGAAGACTTAATATTGTCAAGATGTTAGTTCTTCCCAGGCACCTGGGTGGTTCGGTTGGTTAAGCATCCAGCTCTTGATCTCAGCTCAGGTCTTGATCTCAGGATCGTGAGTTCAAGCTCCCCACTGGGCATAGAACCTACTTAAAAAAAAAATGTTAGTTCTTCCCAAATTGACCTATAGATTTAATGTAATACCAGTCAAAACCCCAGCAGATTACTTTGTGGACATAGACAAACTGGTTCTGAAGTTTATACGGAGACACAAAAAACAGATGATAGCCAACACAATATTGAAGGAGACAAAGTTGGAGGACTGACACTACCCAACATCAGGACTTACTGTTCAGCAACAGTAATCAAGACAGTGTGGTATTGATGAAAGAATAGACAAGCAGATGAACAGAACATCATAGACAGCCCAGAAACAGACCCATGTAAATATAGAGAGAGTCAGCTGACTTTTGACAGAGGAGTGAAAGCAGTACAATGAAACAAGAGTCTTTTCAACAAATGGAACAACTGGACATCCACATAAAAAAAAATTAATCTAGACACAGACTTTACACACTTAGCAAAAATTAACTAAAAATTGATTGTAGGCCTAAATACAAAACTGTAAAGGACTGTTGATAAGGACTGTTATCCAAAATATACAAAGAACTCTTAAAACGCAACAATAAGACAATGAACAACTCAACTGAAAAGTAGACCCAATACCTAAACAGACACCTCACCAAAAAGATATACAGATGGTAAATAAGCATATAAAAAGATGCTACACATCATAGGTCATTAGGGAACTGCAAATTAAAGCAAGAGTGAGCGACCACTACACACCTGTTAGAATGGCCAAACTCTCAAACGCTGACTCTTCATTGACAGCATGAAATGCTGGCTGATACGCGGTACAGCAGGAGCTCTTGTTCATTGCTGGTGGGAATGCAAAATAGTTCAGTCACTTTGTACACAGTATGACATTTTTTCTCAATTCTTTCTTCCCCCAGCTTTGAGATGTAATTGACATATAATATTGTATAAGTGTAAGTTGCAGGTTAACATTTTCTTACAAAAGTAAATAAACATGCTGTTGGCAAATGATCCAGGAGTCACACTTGCTGGTATTTACCCAAAGGAATTGAAAAGTTATGGACATCAATGTTATGGCATCTTTCCTTATAATTGCCAAAACTTGGGAGCAGCCAAGATATCCGAGAGTGATGGTACTTGTACTTTGGTACGTATAAACAATTGAATATTATTCAGCTCTAAAAAGAAATGAGCAATCAAGCCATGGAAACACATGAAGAATCTTAAATGCATATTACTAAGTAAAAGAAGCTAACCTGGTATGTAAATTCTACTTCAGAAAACAGCTTTTAAAATGGCTTAGATAGAAAAAAAGTTTGAAAAAATGACTAAGAGATTGAAATGTTAGGAGATATTTCTTGGTCACAATGCTGTAAGTAGTTTTTCATTTCTTTTTTGCGGGTTCTTGGGTTTCCCAGACGTAATAAAATGATCACATATTACCTACCTAATAAGATCTTTTAATACTTGTGACAATCAGTGACTGCGCTCCCTGCTGGTGAGAGGACGAACACACACACACACACACACATATACACACACACACACACACTGCGCACGCTCCCTCCCCCCTCCCCCCCACCCCGCCTCCGGGCTCAGGGCCCAGGCTCTCAAGCCTTACAGCACATCTCCAGAGCTTTCTAATTAGTGTTCTGTGGGGTTTGGGATTTTTATTTCCTTTGCCAGGCTGAACAGTCAAAAGAGGAGCAGAAGCAAGGTTTGAATGCGGAGAAACTGATGCGACAGGTCTCCAAGGACGTGTGCCGGCTCCGGGAGCAGAGCCGCAAGGTGCCTCGGCAGGTGCAGTCCTTCAGGTAATCTGCCCCGCCCGCGACACTTTGGGCTTGTCCCCGCGCTGTCTGAGTTATGCTGCAAGAACGCGTTAGCCTACGAGACCCCAAATCCTCTCCTACCGTATGAGCTTCGTTTGCTCCTTCCTGAGGTTACAGACTCCCCTGGCAGCCGCCCTGACCCGAGTCAAGCCCGGCTCCCAGGAATTTGGGGTGCCAGAAGCGGATGGCGCATCTCGCTGAGAAAACACAGAAAGGCATAGAGCTTCTGGGCTTTTTGTTGTTCCTTGGGCCCCTCCTAGGCGCCCGCGCCGTGCCAGGTCGGGGATACTCCCCGGGGGCCTGGGGCGTCTGGGGTGCCCTGCGGCTGCCACCAGCCTGGATGGGAGAGCGGGGTGCTCCGTCTGCGCCCAGCACTGGGGGGACACACACACACACACACACACACAGACACACACACACCCTGCCTGCTTGTTTCACCTGGAATCAGGGGCCCCCTGTTCCTTGGTCCTCTGATTTGTCAAGGGAAGTTCAAAATCAGGAGTCAAAAGTGGCCACTGATTCAGGGATGTGACAGCCCCGGCATGAGCCGAAGAAACCTACTAGCGGCACGTGTTCCGTTGGGTTCTCCTTCTGGCCTTCAGTGACGTCTTGAGCTCGCTCCCTTGCCTGTAAGGATGCAAACCACAAAGAGAACTCTTGTGCCAGGGCCCACAGTTCTGGGCCTCTCCCTTTCTTCTCTCTCCTTTCCTTAGTCTAGAGCTTTTCCACCTCCGCACTTGCTTCTTGACCCCACACTTCCTCCACCAGCTACATAGACTCTTAGTTTCTCAAAGGAAGGCTGGTGCTTTTCTTTTTTCTCTATTCTTCTTTATCACTACCGGCGTGCCCTGCGTAACAGAACACATCCTCAGTAAATATGTGTGGATGGGGTACTATGTATGCTGTGAAGAATTTTGCACAAAAGTGAATATATTGCTCCTGTCTTTGGTAACTCTACAATCTTAAAACCTTATTATTATTTTTTTAATACTCTCCTAACCTCTGAAAACTGTTCTGCCCGGTATTTCTCAGTGTCTCCCTTTCGGGTTGTTTCTCCTTATCCCTGCTTCGGGATTGGGGACAGATCTACCTTTACTACAGGCACGTTCCTTCCTTCCCCTTCACTGGGACTCATGGGGTCACTCAGCAAGTGTACCTTCCCTGAGCATGGTATCGATTTTAAAGAAATTTTCCTGGTACCATGTACTTTTCTACAAGGTCCCTGAGAAGTTCCCTGGGACTTCAGACTTCTTGCATCCTCTCCTGCCTCATTTAGAAGCACTCATAACTGACCCCCTGGGGGTTTAAAAACTGTCTGACGCTGGAAATCCAGGAAGGGGGAGATTAACCAGAGGCCGGAGCTACCATGCTCCTTTATATGCTTTATATCCTCCCATAAAGGGGGAAGATGGTCTTGATTTCATGGAGTTCTGCCTGAGGAAAAGACCTCCTGCGCAGGCTTGCAGACACTACGCTGTTCTTGGGACTCTTTTTAAAGGGCACAGAGTATTTTCAACATCATATTCAAGCCGGTTTATTTCTCACCCCTGCCTCCAGGGAGAAGATTGCCTACTTCACCAGAGCGAAGATAAGCATCCCGTCCCTGCCAGCTGATGATGTGTGATTACACCCCCTAAAGAAATTATTCTGTCACCTGTTCACTTCTTAGGGAGGGTACAAGACTGAACTTTGGTTTGGTTTGGTTTGGTTTTGGGGAGGGGGGTTCTTTTTGTAATGTAACTGTCAACTCTTAAAGAGCTTTTATTTCACATCAGATTTTCAACATGTTAATTTGTAAAGTACCTTGAATGTAATTCTTGAATGTTTAAAAAAAGAAAAAATCAGATAACCCAAATGGAATAATCTGGTACACAAATGTCATCCAGTACATACGAATTGCCACGAGGCTGTGTTTTGTACAAATGGAATCGGGGCAGTGCCCGGTGTGTGTCCTGTTGAACCAACTGTTGAGAAATAACTCGGTTTAGCAGACGGCGATCTTGGCTTTTCCTTCATTGTCTCACGGGCAGACTGTGAGGATGGCAACAGGCCAACGTGGTATCTTTGTACCAGGGGGCAGCTCTTGGCGTTTGAAGGCAAATGTGAGTCCAGTCCCAAGTCCACCCGAAACAGGTGTTGCGCTCACCCCGTGACCTGTGTTGGAGCACTTGCTTCCTTAAAACAAGTTCCTTTTTGTCCTTTTCTTTTAGTCTAAAACCCAGATGCCGAGTGAGAATCTCAGAACACAGAGGAGCAGTGCTCCCGGCTATAGTGAAGACCTTGTGATTTGTCACATTAAGGGGGTGGGGAGAGAGGAGAAAGCCAAGTACCCTAACCACACTCAAGTCAGCTCCTCAACGAGCAGGACCGGAATTTGCAGACGTGTCCCGGGGAGGTTCTGTCCGAGGTCGGAGCGTGGTGCCCAGGACAAGCCTGGGGCAGCCGGCGCTCTGAGGACAGACAGCGCCAGCCCCATGGAGGGAAACGCGTGAGCACTCCTTTGGGGGGACAGGAATCTTGATTGGATCAAAGTGGCCAAAAAAAAATTTTTTTAAAAACTTTATTAAACAGATTTCTCACATTCACTAGAAATTATTTTGCAGCTCTCACGTTTAGGGGCTTCCCCTCTGTGGTCTGTGGTAAGGAGGCCAAGAGAAGAGTGTGCCTGGGGAGATTATCAATTTGAAGTATGGGCCAAGGCATTTGTCTCAGGAAACAATTCTAGACGAACTAAATGAAGAGAGAGGAACGGACTCAAGTGTCCTCCCCGTCCCCAGCCAGGCACGGCCTAAAAGAAAGAAATCTGCCGTGTAGCTCTGCCAGCATAAAGGCTTTTAAAATAAAGAGTATTTATGCAATTTAAATCCTACTTATCATTCAGTCACTTATAGTGGAAGAGGTGATTTTTGGTTAGCCATCTTCTGTAACGAAATCATTTTTTTTTTTAGAAATGCAAAAATCTCCTTCAAGGAATAGACCCTTTAAAAAAAAAAAAAAAAAAAGTTAAGTTCTATTTCTAAGATAGAATCCCCAGCAAGAATTTTTAGTTTCTTAAAGTAATTATCCCTATTTTGCAAAGTTCATTTTATCAGCATCAAAATTCAAATTAAGCAATTTCTGAGCCTGGAACTTTAATTATTTTTTCCTCAGTTGTCCCACCACTTATATCTAAATGTCTCTGAAGCTATAGCCGGATGTGACACGACTTTGAACAAAACCCAGCCTTGTGAATTGACTGCACACAGTCCTTCAAGGCCGCGCGGTTCATTCTATCAGATGACTAAGGAGAACTAGAAAGAGAATACCATTCATCCTTGTCAAGGTCAAATGTGAAAGACAGAGGTTTATTTAATGTAGAGCTAAATGAAGGTCAGCTGTTTGCAGCTTCTTAGTTTGACCGTGAAAATGTTTATAGAATTATGTGTAGTTGTGCCGTACGATTTTATTTTCTTCATTTATTTATTTACGGTCTTATTTATGTTCTGTTTAATATATAGTTCGGTTCTGGCCATTTTAAATGTTTGACATAGAAGAGGTTATATTGGAATATCTACACCTTTATAAATCTTCATCAGATTTGCTGTTAACTTTTTGTAATACAAAAAGTTTCAGACAAGTATAAAAGAATAAAATCTGTCTCAGGCTGGTAGTTAACAGTTGTGACCAAGACACTTTGGGTTTTATTTTACAAAATTTGCTCATTTCTAACATGAGAAACAAACTTATTTTAATATAATCCTTCTCCACACTTTAAAAATCAGCAATAGTGTTATGTATTTATAGGCAGCTTTTAACAATTCTGTCATATTTGTACTAACCCAAATGATTCACAGTGACAAAACATTTTAATAACTTGATCACAAAACCATATGAACAATACGAATTTTAATATTATAAATACTATTTTTTAAAGGTAGAATTTATTCTGCACAGGGTAAAAAGAATGTAATATTTAGTTCTCAAGTTTGAATTATCAGTATGTTATTATAATTTTGTATATCAGAATCTAAGTTACAGGTACAAAAAAATATTGCTAGCCAAATGAACAAAGTTTAGCTGAATCTCTGTAGCCGGCAAATCAAATTTAAAATCTTTTTTTTTTTTTTGCTATTACTTTATCTATATTGTATTAAATATCAAAAGCTCAGGACTGAACTAAATATTTAATCAGGTTAAATTCTGAATATGTTTCTGTTTTAATTGTCTCGTCTGTAAAAGTATGCAAATACATCACATAGATTAACTTTGGTTCTGCACTTTTCCTGTGTTTGTGGGTGGAAAAAAGTTCAGTGGGTTTGTTGTTTGTTTCTTTTTTTAAACAAAGATGCATATTGCCTCATACTTAATTTCAGTGTTGTTTACTGTTCAATTTCCCTGATTGGTGCAAACAAGAGTTTACTCGAGCAAATACCAACTCCATCATCAGAACTTCCCAAGCCAGCCATTTGCTGGGAATGGTTCTGGGTTGGGCAATATGTATTGCTGATAGAAAAGACGGCGTATTTTTATCATGCGAGTAAAAGAAGGGGTCTCCAAGGTGAGCCCATCCCAGCCTTGTGCTCTGGTGGTGGGGCAGTGGTCCCAGGAGCTTGACCTGCAGCGCCCCCCGTGGCTGCTCCTCAGAGCCCCGAGGCAGCTGGGGCTGACAGCAGGCATCTGCCATCTACCACAGAGCACGGGGCACCCAAGCCAGAGCACACTTGGGGGGCCATATTTTATGTGAATCTCCCCAAACACCAGATTGCCACCCTCTGTTTCTACCCTGGTGAGGAAAGCATGAAGGAATGTGGCTGGCTTTTGGAAAAGGCTCCGTAGAGACACTGAGGTCTCCAATTACAAAGGAGATGATGTGTTCCACATCTCTCTCCTCTCAAGCTTTCAAAGAACCAGCAATTTTTTAGTCTAATCTAATGATGTCCATTCTCAATAAATATGCAACAAGACTTTAGTTTCAATATAATAGGTGATCTTACACACTTGAAAGCAGTAAATGATTAGCAGGAACATTCCCAGTTGCCAAAATGATTCATCTCTATGAGTAACACCTTCAAAGATACGTAAGCCCTACTATAATGTTTTATTTACCAGCTCTGTGCAATCACTGGATCTATTTTAAAATTGAAAAAATTCATCCACAGTAATGAGTATGATTACTATTAAATCTTGAGTGGTTTTGGTCTCAGAAGATAAAAGTGTTTTTACTGTCTTAGAAGGATATTATAATTTAAGAAGCGAATAGCCACGGGGGGCGGGGATGCATTTTAGAAAATTAAAAACGCAGTGAATGGGTGGCTGTGTAGCAGGAAATCCTACCAAACGCAGAGAGGAGTGAGCGTCTCGAAGAGTGGACACCGCTGATGCTTTCTGGCTTAGATTTTCAGATGCCTTTGTGCATCTCCCGGTGCTGACGGTGATACCGCGTTTCTGCCACTGCATGGTGGCCCGAAGCTGGGGCAGCCTGGGTGGAGCAGGCTGCCCAGTTCAGCAGGCACCCTCCCACGAGGAGGAAAAACCCAGCAAACCAGCCCAGGAAGAGGGCTTCCCCAAACTCCCACCTGGGCACGATCTCTGGCACAGTCTCATCCCAGAACTCCTGGACCGTCTTGTAGGCGACCCAGGACACCGGAGCCAGGGCTGAGATGCCTGCTGACCAGATCAGAATCCCTCCCAGGATCAGCAGCCCCTTCTTGAGGCCCCGCCGCGTCTCTCCAACCCTCAGGCAGTCCAGGCCAGACCCGGAGACCAGCAGGCCCAGGAGCCCCAGCCCGTTGGACAGGAACATGAGAATCCTGGAGATCCTGAGTTCGGCGGGCAAAGCCAGGAAGGAATCAAAGTCCTTGCACTGCCTCCCCACTTCCTCTTGGATGACACAGGCCTGCCAGAGTCCCATGGTCCAGTTCTCCATTTCGTTTAAGTCCAGATTGAGGTTTTTCCACTGTGGCAGGTAGTTTGTAAGACAGGATAACACCCATCCCAGCAAAGATAGTGAGATCCCAGCGAATTGTGCCACGCTCCGAAATACTAAAGCCATCCCCGAGCCCCACAGAGCCTGAACCAAACCAACTCCTGCCTTTTGGCTGGTGTGCAGAGAAGTGTGACACCTTATGCTCTCACCTCAGAGCTCGGAAATATTTCTTCATTGTGTGTAAAGGATTCTTGCCAGAGTGGCTATTGTTTGAGTCTGTGTTAACTGGCTTTCAGGAAAGGACAGGGAAATAAGTCTGCCAACCGGCAACGCCGAGGTGTAGCCAAGCGCCATGCTCGCGTCCTCGCGGCTGACCGTGGTCGCGGTTTGTCTCTGAAATCACACCAGGCAGTACTCATCCTCCTGTCACTGTTAACGTATAGATGGCTTTCAGGCTGTTCCCAACCTTTCTAACAACTCAAAGAATTAAGAAGTCTAAATGCAACATGCTCAGTCGGCAGTTTGGGTTCAGCTCCAAGGCTTTCTATCTTACTAATTGCACCTGTCACATTGCCATGTGTTACCACTCTCGGATTTCAGTATGTACATCGCAGTAATACTGAATGTGGTCCCTTTTTAAAAGCAGGTTCAAGAAAAATATTTCTTACCCAAATAAATGGATCTTAATTCGGAAATCTCTCTAGACCTTCAGTCGGGTCTGTTTTTTTTTAAGACCCTTGAGCTACCTATACGACATAACACATGAAACCATACAGAGCCCTAAATCTCAAGTCTACTTACCTCCCTGCCTTTCTGTCAAATTCATGCACCTGTGCATGCACACTTCTTGTTTTCTTTGCTTAAATATGCTTTCTATGTTGTGGGAAAGTTAAGCAATAGGACTTTGTAGGTCAGAATGAACATCCCTGTCGGTTCACCACTAAAGTAAATAGCCCCATGCTGATCATTTTTAATGGAACAAAGGAAAGTTTGTATTAGGGCAAGTGGGAACTGTCAAAGTCTGGATATCAAGCACAAAACACTTTTGGAATTGTTCATCTGTTTTAGATTTGAAACTTTTGAAGGAAGAGACAAGAGAGGTCGAGACCGGCCAGTATTTTGAGTGTGAGAGTATCATAAAGTACTGAAAACCGTCAGCCTCATCCAGTCCTGTCACACAGCACGCCTGTTAATGTCCTAAACACAAACTGTCTCTGTTCAAAGAAGACCAAAGTCATTGTTGTGGAAATAACACTTTGGGAGAGGCTGAACATGTGCTGTGGCTAATGTAGAATGTTTAAAGGATTTCAGATTGGATTTTCCTTTAGGAAATAGAAACTAATTATTATTTCCAGCTACCAAT